GGTGACTCCCCCCCCCCCCCCCCCCCCCCCCCCCCCCACCCCCATCCCCACCACCACCACCACATACTCACAAACTTCAATGAGCGAAGAATCTGTTTTAAAGTTTGCCTGTTGTATGTCTCACCTAAGTCTGAAATTTATCAGCGTGAATATCTGAATGTGTTATGTCTGTATGTTTCCTCTATAAGTCTTAATGTATCTTACAGGAATTAGAAAACATGTAAAGGAACGTAACTATGTATTTTATTTAGTATTATGCCTATTATCGAACCTGTTTATAGAGGAAGAGCACTCTCTCTGTTTTAACGCCCCCCCGGGCCTGGTGTGCTCTGGTGCTGTTTTTCAGGAACTGATGAAAGCCTGTAGGTTACACTAGTCAACAAATTTTAACTTTATTTTTTTTATAATAATGGAAGTTGATCCTATATTGTCCTTGTGGGGAAATTCTATTTATGTTGCCCTCAGCTTGCTTATTGTAGAGTAAGCTGTCTCCAAAGGGTAACCACCTCTTGGGGCACCTGGGGGTTAAGGACCTTGTTCAAGGACCCACAGACCCACAGACATGCTGAGGTTGGGTTTGAACCAACAACCTTGTGATTAGGGGCACATAGGCTTAGCCCACTGAGCCACATTTTCACATTGCTCCTGTTTCTCCTTGCTCATTATTTGCTTCAACTGGTGCCTCAATTCACAAATTCTTGTGTTAATTGTTTTTCTTTCATCAGATATTTTGGCCCCTGGATGGCTGCGTACAACAGCATCTGTGGAACAGAACAATAAGGAATAATTATCAAAAGACAGCAGGAAATAATATCCATAATATCTACATTAAATCATGGGCAAGCAGTCATGTTTTCACTAATGTTTATAAACACAATTCAATAACCAGATAAAGGCATATTAATGTTGAAAAAATGTTTTTACTGCCTTCTGGAAATTTTTAAAGCCAATCAGCTGGTTCTAAATTGGGGATAGTTGATGTGGGGTTGCGAGGGGTATGACCAAGCGATATGGCAAAACATTTTATCATGATAATTTTTTTCACATATTTTCAAGACAATGTCGATAATTATCTTGATATAATTCAAGTAATTATTTCTTTATTCACTTCTACTTCTACTCTATTCAAATTGCCTTTAAACAGTTTCAGAACATAACAGAAAAAGGAGACAAATTGAATGAACTACAAACTGAAATCTAATTTTAATACATAAATCATAGGAAAATACGTTTTTGCTGTGGGGCGTGACACTAGAAAACGACAACATTACGATTTGTTGCTAGGATTGTTCCCTGACTGCCTCATTTTTTCCTTTCAGGAAAGGATTTGTCTAGGGCTAGGCTATATGCTCTAAAAATTAAATCACAATATTTTCAGAGATTTTCACAATATTGATCTCAATATTCTAAAATTCATATGTAGACCTCAACAAAATATGACAAGTGTTTCAGTTTTATGATGACCAAGTTGTTTTGCTAACAATTATGGAGTAAGTGATAGGTATAATGATAAATGACGGCAACAACATACTCACACCTTGATGGAATTTGTATAAATAGTGTATTATAACTGTTAATTATGCAAGAAAACATGTGTTTAGGCTATATCATAATTCTCACAATATTCAATTTGATGATGATATGAATGTTCATAATCGTGGTACAATATTTTTTGTATTGTCCAGCCCCGCTCCGTCCGCTCCTGATGTGTGCCACGCCCACCTCGTTACCTCGTGTTCAGCCCTGATTGTGATCACCTGTGTCCTGTTATGTCTAGCCCGTCTTTTGTATTTAGTCCTCGTCTGAGTCAGTCTTCCCCAGACTTGTCATTGTAGTGTCAGTGTATTGTCCGTAGATGTCCGTGCCTGTTCTCCGTTTACCCAATAAACCCCTTTACCCCCTTTTACCCCCTTTTTGCTTTCCTGCTCGCCCTCCCCGTGAACGCTGACAGTATGCTGTATTCTAGAATATTTTCACCACTGCACCTTGCGGAACCGAAGCCGTTATATCCATCTATCCATCGTTATATCAAAGCCAGCAGACTCCATTGACAAAACAGACATTTTGCCTGGCAGAACACAGGAGTTGTTGGTCTAAGTGCCTCATACAACCCTACTTCAAAAAATCCAAACTATGCCTTTATCTTCATTATCCCTGCCACGAAATCATCTGAAAGCCGCAAGCATCAGATAATTAACATGAACCCCCAAAAAAGAACCGAAGTTACCGGTTGTAACTTAACGCTGGTACAGAATCACAACTGAGCTGTTTTTGTCTGTTAGAATGAAGCAAAATACTGACCTTTTTTCCATCATTTTGTTCTTCCTGCAAGTTTTATCAGAACCAGGGAGAATATATTTCCTTTTCAATTGGTTAATTTTTTTTCTCAGGGACATATGCACCCGATTCTGTCCACGACAAACGGGTCACGATTGGACTGCAAAACTGGGAAGTTTTAGACAAAAAATGTGTAACACCTGGCAAGCAGTGGCATGAAACAAGAAAAAATAAGCCGTAGAGAAAATAAACCAAAAATATAGAACTTGAAAAGTAATGAAATTCAAATTCACAAGGTTTTACAGGCAAAATATATGTATGTCACTTCATTTTGAGCTTTATCATGTCTGAGAATGTTTTTGTCTGAATCTTCACAGTGTCACTGGGCTCGCTGACTACACCAGCACCGACTGTCTTGTACCTAAGAAGGTACGCAGTGTCTGGCTTCAGCCCTGAGACGATCCAGTTCTCCTGGTTTTGCTGTGTGTCTGTGGTCCTCCAGTCTTTCACTCCATTTTCCTTCTTGAACTCCACTTTGAATAGCATAGGGTTTGAAGCTGGAGACTGTGGCTTCAGCGTTATACTTCTGTCCCGTATGTCAAATACTACAGGTGAAGCTGGTTTTATTATGGGTTTGTACTGGGTATCCACCAGCTTCCCATTTTGATGGAGATAGATGGAGGCCCCAGGATGAGTGGGGTCAGAGATGTAGGCGATGACAAATTTTTTTTTTTTTCATCTTTGTTGATATCTGAAAATATGCTGAAGAGGTCAAAGGTCTCTCTCATGGTCTGTGATATGTTAGGTGTAAGAAACCATGGGGTTGATTTGACATCTTTAACAGCTTTCCTGAAGGAATCACCAGTGTTCTTTTTGATGGATGTTTTAGGCAGAAATTTTGTGAGATCCAAAATGTATGGCTCTTCATACTTCAGGGAGGTGAAGACAAATGTGATGACTGACTCATAGTGGGGGCTGAAAATACATCCATTGTGCTGTGTGGAAGACACTATTGGGATGTTTTTTTGATTTTCAAAGTCATCGGTGTAAGTTCTGATCACCACAAGTTCAGTCCTCTTCTCATCCAGCCATTTATTCACCTTGGCTTGTGTGAAAGATGATTCATGATGATATTTTAGAATTTTCTCCAGAACCTTTTTATCCGTTGCTCCTTTACGGATAATAGGAAGAAGTGTTGAGATGTTTTTTAGTATAGTAATCTTGTATTGCCTGAGCATGTCCTGAAATGTTTTCAGTTTGGCCTGCATATCAGTAGCCTGAATGGTCTCACTGATTTGCAGCAGCTCATTGACTGTGATGGTAGCTCTCTGAAGGTCTTCCATGGTGGTTTCTACCTCAATAATCAAGTTCTCACTGATCTCCCGCACTAACTTGGCTGCCCTGTTGTCCAGGTACTTCAGAGGGTAAAGCCACACTGTCATTGGGACAGCCTTCTCTCCTCTCTCTCCTAGAAGCCTTGGCAGGTCTTTATAAACTTTCACTGCTTCCATGTAGGTCGTTGGATTTTCTTCCAATTTGACATCACCGTAGAAGGTGCACTGGAGTTTCTCCACCTTTTGCTGTTCCTCATCTGTCATTTCCAGTTTTCCACCTCCACTACAAGGAATTAATGGAATTTTCTTGACCATGACTTCCAGTGAGCCCTGAATGTCCTGCTTATCTTCATTTCTGGAAGTAGTTTGGTCAAAAACCAAAAAGGCATCAGCTCCATACAGCACACCTGTGACAACATGAGTGGCTGTTCCATGTTTAATCACATCTGCGTAAGTTATTTTGCCAATATTCTTCATATTGAGTTGCTTAAACACAGTCTTCTGGCTGTAATGCATAGTCACTCTACACTGACTTTCCGTGGTCAGTGTGTCTTTGAGATACTTTGCTGACCCTCCAACCTCAACCAGGCCCCCAAAGAAACTCGCCTTCAGGGAGGCACTTACGTCCAGCAGGCTGGACTTCTTACTAAGAGAGTCAGAGGCAGTGATTTCAGATTTTGTTTGGTTCTGTTCATGTACGGTCATGTTCTTTTCAATATCTTCAGCATCCCACAATGTGACACCTGGAGTAATAGGGGAATACAGGGAAGCACTAATATGTAGTTAAAATATTCTGTTATATTGCAATATTTCATAATATATCAGCCATACGATAATAAAACTCAGTAATTCAATTATATTATTTAGAAGGGGTTAAGAGGTAAGTTTAAATGTTCTGAATGTTTCTGTGAAGATTCTATCTAATCCCATTACCTGGAATGAAGCTGTCATCACGGCAGTCATACAGCATTCCGGGGTGTAATGGTCGTCCAAGGGCTGCGATCTGGATCGCTTTGAAACTCATAATGCTGGAGCACAGAGAAAATCATCATTTTTATTTTTCAGTTAAAAAATTATTACGACAAGGAAGTATAATTAATTATCCTTCATAACAACGACCTGGAAGGAAAATCAAAAATTAAAGATTCCTCCTTTGTCTCCCACACATCCTGCCGAATAAGCTGAATGGTCTGTATCTGTGATATTGATCATATTGATATTTACCGTCACATTTAAATAATAAAAGCTGCACATTAATCAGCAGAAGTGCAATCCAATAATTAAGCAGAATGCTGGCTCTTTACTTTTATTAGTTAAACTTTATGTTAATAATACTAGGCTACATGAAGTTCAACAAATTAGCTTAACCCCGAAGAAAAAAGAATTTATGGATACTGCCCATTGTGCCAATCAAAGGTTTCATTCTCTTTGTAAACTACAATGCAATTCATTATAAAAAAAACTTTACTTACACAAAAAGTGCAAGAAAAAGGCATACAGCCCAAAAACAGCGAAACATTTTTGACAAATTACTATACAATTCAAATAAATGTGAATAAACATACGACAAGGAAGTACAACTAATTATCCCCCATAACGACCCCGAAGGAAAAAGAAAAAAACACTTTATTTTATGGAAACCACACATTGTGCAAATCTGAGTGTTAGACCATCTGAGCATTTCCTCTCGCAATCAAATAACTTAAGATGCACGTTAAAAGGCAAAACTGCAATGCAATACATTGTGTTAAAGAAAGTTTTTTGCTTACAAAAAAAGTGTAGGAAAGAGGCATACAGCCCTAAAACAACAAAAACATTTTTGCCCAATTATGTAATTCAAATAAATATGAATAAACATGAATAGCAATACTGCAGTGACCACAGACTGAACCTTTGTCACAGCAAGAAGAAAATATTGATGAAGTACCTCAGCCGAAAGTCATAACCATGATACTGTAGATTAAATAAATATTCAATTTTTCAGTTGTTTGACTTTACCTTAGTTGGGTCTTTTTTACTGGGACAAGTGATGTGCTCTTATTCAGCCTTTATAGAGAGCTGTTATCATGTTTGCATCAGAGGATGAGCTTCGACAGCTTAGAGATGCCAATGAGCATGACCTTCATGTCATTCGACCATGGGAGGATGCTTCAGCACCCAGTGAAAACCTGCAGATCACAAGGAAACAAACAACACACCCACACAGGTGTGGACAAAGGAAAAAGACAAAGGAGATTATTGTGGACAGTGGCGACTGCTGTAAGGCTACAAGGGAAGCTCCGCCTCACGGAAAACATTGCGAAAAATTTTGTCAAATATGTACTGTTGTATTTACATTGCTGCTACAAAGAGTGTGCTTCCTGGGTAGTTTGTTCAGAATCAGCAATAATTTCTTGCTGGTCGTCTAAGGTGATTTTATTTTTCTCATACATTACATTCCCGTTGCAGCATCATATAATAAAACCCATAGAGGTACAGCTTCACTGGACTTCAATAGCACTTCTGTTTGCAATGCAGCAAAGCTAGACGTTTATTGGACAGATGCTTCAAAGCGTCATTCCCAGGGAAGCTCAGCTTCTCTGGAAGTGAATGAGGAACTGTCAAAGTGGCTGCACCTCTTTTTGACTGACAGCGTTTTGAAATCATATTTCAGAATCGGAGCATTTCAAATTCCGTCCCACGCGGATGTTCAGCAAGTGAAGTCTTTTCATATTTTCGATTTTCATTTGTACATCCTACTGTAAATAAACACATAAATATAGAGTTCTTGAGTTTGCTCCTTATTTCGTTAGTAAGATTAATTTCCAAGTAGATTAGTAAAGTTCAGCTTCTTAGTTGATTGGTCATGTTCTACACCTGCCACCTCTTTAGCCTGGTCATCTTTGTTTATTTAACTCTTGTGTCTCCCCCTCCCCTCAGGTTAAGAGTCTGGGTGTCGTCATCGATAGCACATTATCCTTTCAATCTCATATAAACAATATCACTCGGTCCGCATATTTCCATCTCCGCAATATTAATCGTTTCCGTCCTTCCCTCACCCGCCATACCACCGCTATCCTTGTTCACAGTTAAGTCACTTCACGACTGGACAATTCCCTTCTGTTTGGTCTGACCAACAAATCCCTCCATAAGCTTCAATTACTTCAAAATTCTGCGGCTCGTATTATTACTATGGCTGTCAAAATTAACGGGTTAACGCGGATTAATCCATCATCATGATTAATCTGAATAAAAATTTTTAATCGCTTGACAGCACTAATTATTACTGAAATCCCCTCTATACATCATATCACCCCTGTCCTGCAGCAGCTGTACTGGCTCCCGGTACATCTCCGCATTAATTTCAAAATCCTCCTCTATATGTTTCAGGCCATCCACAACCTCGCTCCTCCATACCTGTCTGATCTTATTCACATTGCTACTCCCTCTCGTTCCCTCAGGCCTTCCTCTTCTATTCATCTCATCGCCCCTTCTGCCCGCCTTGTCACTATGGGGAGCAGGGC